TTTTAGCAGTTTTAGTTTCTCTTTTACCTTCGTGTCATGCTCTTTCTTACGGTAAGGTCTGCAATGCAGGCCCTAATAATCGTGATTGTGTTCTTTTTTTTGTTTCTTGTGCTGCACTTTCTGCGCTGTAACTGCTACCACTTTGACTATGCCTTTTATTTGTTTTTTTAATCTGACATAAATCTACATGTTTTGTTTTATTTACTGTGTTTGCTGTTCTTGTTTCTGTAAAGCACCTTGAATTGCCTTTGTGTTTGAAATGTGCTACACAAATAAAGCTGCCTTGTCTTTTTTTTTCCTATGATCAGATTTTCTTGCATGGTTGTTCATATTGTTGTTTAAATCTAAGTCTTTCGCCTTAGAGTAACCTACATGCACAGAAGTAAAGGTGACACATGCTTTGTTTATGGAATTTAATGTGGATTGTGAATCATCTCTGAAGTTGTTGAAATGAAGAATGGATTCAAAATGTATTTTTGTTAGAACTACATCTGCTGAATTCAACTTCCCCCAGAGAAACAATAAAACACCAAAAGCAACAATACCACTGACTAAATGTAGGTTTTGTTACTTTTTGTTCAACATTTTTGAATAAAGTCATCATGATGTCAGCTTTTTGGTTGATGTTCTTCCTCAAGTCTGGAGTTGCCAACACGAAATGTTTTAGGATACTGACTGAGATATGACAGCTTTAGAAATAATTGCACATTTACTGTAACATTTTGTTCCTAAACTGCAGGAAAGGCTAGAAATTCAACTAAGAAACCTAAAAACACATCTGAAAAGATATTGCTAACATCCCAGCCAGCATGCATAGGCAAGGGCGTCAGTTTGTTTTCAGAATTGCTGGGGACAATAACCATACACTTGAGTGGGGTTTAAAAATTGCTGGGGACAATAAAGTAGGCTAGCACAGAGGTCGGCGGCTCTGGAGCCGCATGCGGCTCTTCCATCCATCTGATGCGGCTCTCTGTGCTTGTAAAATAATGAATGGATATTTAAATAAAAAGCTTTATATTTTACTGCATTAATTTCACATCTGTATGCCAATTCTAAATGTAAAGATTGTCTGCGTAAACCTGAACAGGTCCAACCCGGTCTTACTGTGAGACCGGGTTGACGCGTCACGCTTGTGCGTAATCACATAGGCGCTTCCTGAGCTGGAGGATGTCAGATTCTGGGCTTCTCCTCAGACAGGTTCCTGGAAGCGTCACCACATTGGAGACAGGAACAAGCACTATTCAGCCAAAGTTTCATAATCAGGTGTGGCAGTGTGAGTGTCCTGTCACAGTGTCCCGATAGATAATGCGCCCTGGCTACTTGGCCAAGGGGTTGTCCCTTTGGCTGTTTATGTGGAGCAGAAGCGGCCGGGCCACGGCAGGTGAAACGTTCCTAGCCTACATGAAGTGTAACATTAATATGTTACTGGACACGCTGGTCTGGCTGGTTAGACCAGTGTTTGAAGTGGAAACACACACACACACACACACACACACACACACACACACACACACACACACACACACACACACACACACACACACACACACACACACACACACACACACACCAATTAAAATAATGCTGATAGCGTGGACTAGAAGCCAGGTGATGGTTTACGTATTTAAATGATGATCAGGCTGCTGTAAAATGTAATCTCCATCCACATCCAGACACAATTATCCTCTATTCTTTCTCTATTTGCTCTGCTCTTGTCTGGGCTGACGTAGCTGATGGTGCGCGCAACGCGCCTAACTAGCGGCTAATGCACATTTTACGCATTTGGAGAGATGGGCTGGATGCTTTGCTTTTACTGGAAGATGGTCCACTTAACGCATGGGTGTAGACTACATATTAATGACAAATGAATGAAAATTAAACTGGGAGTTTTTACTTCATATTTTAGAAATAAAAATGACGGGGGAACACATTTATGACATCTTTTTAAACAAAATTTTCTAGCGCGACCTGCCTGCTTCACTAAGTCACTGCTTATTAAGGTCCGTCCAAAATTACCGTGGCCCACCCAAAAATGAAAACCTGGCGCCGTGCCTGTTATAAACCTCTGCAAATGGTTGTTGTTCACTTTATCAAACTCAGACTTTGTACAGCTAATGTCAAGATGTAAAAATATGAATTCAGTCGAGCTCTTCCGTCCCTCCCTCTCCTGCTCTCCTGGAAACCCGACATCGGCTGTCAGAAGCGGGAGGTGAAGAAGGAGATGAGGCAAACAGAGTGAGTGCGACATAGAGAAACCAGACTGGTGTGGAGGTGAGCAAAACAGAAGGAAAAGTGTGGGTGTTGAAATCACTCGGGTGCGACGCCCATGCGAGCGACCGGTACCGGCTGCTGTCACCTGGTTGTGAGCAGCTTTCTGCTGTCTGAGGGTAGGCCCCGCCCACAACGCTGCGGCCGCTGTGGCTCCCAGTGTTTTCTTTACTGTGGGAAACGGGTAATAATGGCTCTTTGATGGGAACAGGTTGCCGACCCCTGGATAAGATCTGAGCTGGTAAAACAAAAATCCTCATCAGCAGGCTTTTTTTAAAGTGGGGGGGACACAGCTGCCAATCACAAATTTTGCTGGGGACATGTCCCCGGCGTCCCCGGTTAAAATGACGCCTATGTGCATAGGTGGGCCAATATGGGTACCATCAGGGTTTGTCCGTGGTTTCCATGGTGTCCCTAGAGAGGTTTGCCCTTCAAAGATTTTAATGGGCCCATGTATAAGTCTGACCATCTGGGTCCCTCTGAAAACCCATGTAGGGCCCCTAAAACCTTTCTGGACAAACCCTGCTGGCACCCATATGGTTTGCCCATATATATGTACATGGGGCCTATCCATCCATGCTGGCTGGATTTGCATGAATGCAGAGTATTTGAATGAATGTTAAGATTTAATGAATTCTTCATCTTTGAGACCCTACTAAGAACTAAGCAGTTCAGCAGACGACTAAACTATTTAGGCTTGGCCATCAGATCAGGCTGGGACATTTGAAGGCAACTACTGGATAAGTGTGAACAGCAAAATAAATTTACAGTTGAACAGTTTGGAGACACATTTATGTGTTCTTACCAGAGCTTCAAGAGACAATGTGTATTTTTATCTTTAATCTCTGGAAATTGCCATCGAAATGTTGTTGAAAATTAACAAAATGATGTCCAGTTGTTGAAAAATATTGGCGGCTTCATACCATATACCGATAAGAAACGGGTCTAAAGTAGGTCGCTGGTCTAGCTTCTTGGGGGACGCCATATAAGACGCTATGTTTCCTTCTGGTTGGCTCATGGTCCTGTGCCTGTTAATGACGTCACACTAAATGATTGGCTGGATGTACGAGTTATGGAAGTTACGTTACCAAGAAACACAAATTTTAATACAAAACTGCTCTTTCCAAAACATATGTGAAAGAACAAAGTTGAAAAAGAGATGCAATATATTTTGGCTGAGCGGTATTGCCGTAGTATGATGACATCATCGGCAGGTGCAGGACCCCGAGAAGTTCCGGAAACTACCGCGCCAGAAAACTAGCATCGGCATTGCATTCCCACTGACATTTTAAGGTGAAAATAGTTATTCTGCATGGTTTTCTGAATGCATTCTAGTTTAGAAAAGCAGCTAATTCAAATATTTAAAAAACATTAAACTTTCAAAATTATACAACGAAGATCAGAAACTGGCCATCTTAATCTTGATCCTTTTGTTGGTTCCTAAATAGATTAAGGTCGTTAAATGTTTACTTTTCGTCTAAACCCCACAGGAACTGGTCACTATTTTGGGAGTAGATTCTTCCCTGACTTCACTTTAACTGGATGAACAACTAACTGATTTATCTCTAATCAGTATTTAATTGCAGATTAATAAGGCTACCTGTCCTGTGAACTGACACTTTAATAACAGAATATTTCCCAGTAAGTTCAGCTGTCACAGCCCCATAACTGTGTGACCACCTCAGAGGGATGGAAGGCTGGCCAACGGGCACAGCAAAGTAAATCAGCTCAAACGGAGTCTAATTATTGAGTGAAAAACAGTGTTGCGTGCAGCCAAGAAACTTTTATGTAGAACATTTATGGGCATTTAATCTAGAACTAAAGATACAGTAATTGCAATGCAACAGTAAAACCTGCAACCCTGTGTGCCTCTTTATGTGCAAACATTGCCAAGCATAAATTTTCCCTTATTATGGAACTGGTTTATCAGCCTCTTTGGGGTGCTTGGAGAGAATATAGCCAACACCAAGCTCATTTGTAGGCTAAATGAAATCCAAAGCACTGTATGTTTTGAGCAGCAGCAGGAAATATGAATCAAATGCAAACAAACAACAAAAAAAGATGTTTAAACTACATTAAAAACTAAGATTATTACTGATCATATCTCAATATTGTCTACACGTTAAAGACCAAGTTTGATAATTTTGTTCAACACATTTGCAGTGGTCTCTAGTATAAATGAATGCTTCTGTGGGGGATAAAAGCTCTGGCGCTCCTGTTTCAGGAAGTAGAGGTGAGCTGACACGGCAGGGTTTGGAGTCCCTGATTGGCTAACAGAAACGTGACCCATCCCCTGACTCTGTTCTGCAACATTGATGTTTTATCTATACAAATAAATAACACAAGCCTGAAGGAGTTCTGCTGTGCTGTGGAGTTGCTAATGCTAATAGTGCTCTACTCTCTCCTGGACGCTAAACCAACAACAGCCTTCCCTATTGTGAGCCACAATGGGTGAGCCCATCAATGCTCATTTTCAGTGTGACATAGATCTGAGTGTTTTTTCTAATTAGATACTTTCCCTGTCTATCTTCTATCAGCGGCTAATGCAGGAAATAGAAGTATAACTCAGAGTGACTGATAATTAACAAATAAGTAAAACACGGTTTCTCAGTGAACTTGGTCTTTAGGATGATCAGGAATGAGTGGCACAGAACTATGATTTAAATTATTTCAAATATAATTTAAATGTACACAGAGAGATAATAAACATTCAGGGTAAAATAAACACAACATTGTCACACAGATATTTTATTCATCAAACCGAAACAGCTTTAGTTTGAAGCAACATATTTTCGTGGGCTGTACAGAGTCCCTCCCTCCGGTGCAGGCTTGAATATAAGCAGTTTTATAACTGGTGTAATTTCTGGATGAAGATGAAGGAAGTAAGAAACGATTATGTGAACATTTGACACAGAAATACAAAGACAGCTTGGTTCTCCACCTCGGACCTGTTCAGTGTAGCTCAGTAAGTTCTTACACTGCAGATCTTTATGATCTGCAGAAACAGAATGTGCCTGCGGACACTTTTGTTTCAGTTTCATACATCATGCATACCTCCTCAGAGCTTTGCAGCAGGCCTGCTCCATCGTATATGCTCACAGGAAGCTCACTACAAAGCTTCGCCAGTGCAGGTGGTGGACGAGATACAGTAACTTGGCAATAAAGCATTTTAGGATCAAATGACAATTAATCTGTCCACCATTGCCCATGAACCTATTGGGGTGACTCACAACAAGACTATTTTTCAAATAATGGTAATCTGTCATAAAAGCATCCAGTAAAACTTTCTATATAAACACATCAGAATCTAATATATTGTCCGTTCTGTAATTAGTTCCAGTTCTCCAGGTAATTAAAACCTTTAGTAAAAGAAAATGGTCCGACGCAAAATGGTGATGCATTTCTTCACATTTGCTCACTGTGATCTTCATTAATTGTATGTCCGATTAACAATGTTTTAAAAGTTTTATATTTTCTTTCATGTTTCTCATATTAAGTAAATAATTGTTTGACTTTTGTAAATGTGTTAGCTTTTCCTTCAGGCTGTCGTCTCAGAGCAAATAAAATGTTTTCTGAAAAATAGGAAACAATTTGCTCGTTGGGACACTGAAAGCTGGCAGGTCTTAAATGAAACCTGAGGTGTAAAACGTGGATGTGGAGCCTTTCAGATTTCATTGTAGCACTCGAGAGCTTTGGAATGACTTGTTAGGAGTAGAGAGTGCTGGGGTAACCCAGGGCAACTTACTCAAATACTTTGTTTACTTCTGTTTCTTCAGCCAGGCAGCTTTTAATTTACCGTGGCATGCAGCCTGTGGTAGCATACATACAATGGAAACTGCATCAAAGAACCCATCCGTAATCCTCGTGTCTCCAAGTTTCCAACTGTCTGAAGTTGCAGACAGTCGTGACATCATGTGAAAATGCCCTTGAGGTCTTTAACGTTTACTAATGTTAAAGTATTAGTTCAGATACTTTGAGTTAAAGTGATTTAGGAAATTAATATTTTACCTGCAGGAGATGGATATTTTAACAAACTCTTTTGGAGAAACTGTGGTTTCCTACCTGGATTGATGGGCTAAAGGCTAGTCAAAACCAGGCTAGTTTTAAAGTGGATTTGTGCCCATTTAAATAAAATACTGAAATCTCAAAAATGACAACAAATCCTGGAAAAACCTCAATAATTTATGCAGCCAAAAATGACCTATTTACATAGAATTTTATGCTTAGTAACAACAATATTAGTAAAACTTCATGTCAGAATACTTTTGGCATTAAAAAGGTAAAACACTCGTGAACACCAAAAAAAAATTATTATAAAAACTGCAAAAATCCACATTGTAACTGTTCCCAATGAGACCACCTCATCAATCCAGTCAAAGTTAATCTGCTTCTCCAAACTGAGTTGTTCTAACAAAAACTTTGTAAAGCAGGTAAAATGTTAATGTTCATACATTTTTCATAGAAATGCACTTCAAAAGATACTCTTTTAATTCAAGTTCCCTTCAAACAGCTCTGAGCTTTGTCTAGTTGTCATGGTTCATCATCTTCTTAGTTTTTAGTTTGTGACACCGACTAATTAATATTAATGCTCGTCGGTTTTCACAATTTCATTTATCATTGTTTATCGTATCTAATGTATTAAAAGGGTTAAAGTCTTCATTATCTAAGGTATGTTGAATGTATATAAACATTTTCTCTATTTAGGTATTTTCTGTGAATGTTATCTTCGTATAAGTGCCCAAACATTACACATCATGGGTAATTATTAATAACATCTATCCTGAGCTTTTAAATTGATCACCAGGACAACACGCGGACATCTAACACAGACTTTATGAAAAAGAATGAACATAAACATTTACATTTTAGAAAACGTCCAGTTATAATGGAAATTAAAATGGAAACTCAATGATGGGGCCAAAAGGTTTTCAAGTTAAATAACGCCTCCCAGCTTCGTCATCACTCATCCATCTTTTTGTGTGTGTGGTCATGTTTCAGAACTATCTAAAATGCACATAAAAATAGGTCCCCAATTCAAAGTTAATTGCTCTCAGGGCTGGAGGATTTGAATGATTTGTCATAATATACATTTATAATTCACGCACCATGCAGTTTCTTAGTCTTTTACATAAATTACAAGATAATTAATAGTCTTTTTGATTGATGTCAGTGTCCCTTTGAGTGAAACCATGGCTTAAGGGGGTGTGGCTATCAAATAAAAACAAATGTCATAACATGATAACATTATCTCTACATGGTTCCTTAGTCAGCTTAATTATAAGATGAAGCTGGTTAATAATGGACAGGTTTCACATCTTCGTTAAAAAGTGACACTGTACAATAGCTTCCATGGCAACGAGTTAAAACCACAGGTAGACCCAACCCCCTTTTTCTGACTCCACCCCCAACTCCATCCACCCCTTCTATTTTACAGAAGTTCATTCCAAGGAGGATGGCGGAATAAAAAGACACAGATCACGCTTTACATAATGAACTGAAAGACAAAAAGTGGAACAGGGGCAGGTTTTAAATTAGTGTACAAAAGAACTAACAGTAACCCACCAACAACTTAACACCTATTCTTGAAAAATCCATTGGAAATCAATTTCTTTATACAGGTTGAAGAGTTTTGTTTCTGAAGAACTGCATGATATACTCCAGTATCCCAAAGGACAAGGGGGCGGTGGCCAAAGAGGCAACGGGGAAAATACATCACTCTTCCTCTGTGCATCCCAGTATTTCTGCACGCAAAGTGATCCTGCCGTACCATGACCAGGGGAGGATCCGAATGAACCGGGCGTAGATAGGGGGGTCTATCACATTCTTTCTGTGTGTGTCGTTGTCAAAGTTCCCCTGGAATACCTGAAAAAAATGACACCAAGTGGTTAGAATTTACTTTTTTGAAGATGTCTGAAAATGTGAAACAAACCTGGTTATGTCGTTGATGGTCAGGTGCAGAAAACTTAGGGTTTAACAACAGCTGAGCTGACCAAAATGCTTCACAGAAAATATCAAGGTTAACCCTTTCATACATTATGTTCACTACAGTGGACAGCTACTCAAAATTGTTTTTTATTTCTTTTTTTTTTGTCTATTAAGCAAAAAAATCCCCCATTGGACTCTAGTAAGTCAAGCCAACATTTGTATTTAACACAGTGAAGTAATTAGATGTTTCTTTACCTTCAGCTGACATGTCACGGCTGGTATTTCCGTCTTCGTCAGAGGCGCCAGCTGTTCGTGGCATCACTTCCGTCTATGTGACACAAACAGCTGGCGGCTCTGACAAAGGCAGAAGTTCTGGCCGAAACACATCAGCCAAAGGTAAAGAAACATCTAATTACTTACTTAACTGTGTTAAATAAGAAAAAAGAAGATAATAATGAATCAACACACAGAACAAATATACAGAACCACATTTTTCATGTTCAGAACGCACGCTGTACACTGAGGTAGACATGTAATAAATTATTTGTAAATTAAAAGTAAGAAAAAAATTGTGGAAAAGTGTTTCATTCAAACCTAAATGTGAATGAAACAAGTTGTTACAAAAAAATCATGGTTGATGATTTCCTAATTCATGCATGAAAGGGTTAAAACCACAAAAGAGTAAAGGAATAACATTAATGAGACAATAAAAGCAATAAAAACACGGTAAATTAGTCTATAAAGCTAAAATAGTAAGACAAGGAAACTGATAATACACAGCTAATAAATCAAAATTAAATTAACTAAATTATTTTTTCCCACTCCTGCCCCCTTCTGGTTGAAAGAGGAACTACAACTGCTGTAAACAAGGGCAGCAGTAGCTCAGGAGGTAGAGCAGGTTGTCCAGTAAGGGGCTCGACACACGGGAGGCGACAAACGACCGTGATCAGCGAAATTCGTCGCTGTCGCTTTTATTACCTGACACACGGGAGGCGACCCGCGGCAGCAGCAAAGCCATCTACGCTTTCTGTTCCATGGCGAAATCGAAACTTCCGTTTTGGTTGGCTGTGTCAGGTTGGAGGGAATTAAGGTTATTTAAGCGGTTCAGAGTTAAAAAAGTGGTAGATATGATGTTTCACAAGGTGCTGCTAGAGTTATGTAAAATCTTACTCTGATTTTACTATAAAACATAATAATAATCAACTTCTCCTTCATGTTTGCTCGGAGATGTACGGAGCATCCCGCCCGCTCATTGGTCAGTGAATGAAAGTTCCGTTGATTAGTCCTCATCCGAGCAACAGCGATGAAAAGTTGAAAATATTTCAACGTTCTGGGATGGCGTCGCTGGGTCGCCTGTACATGACATGTGCACAAGAACAAAATTTCACACGCACGTTTTTCGCGTTTCGCTTAGTAGGAGGGAGACCCACGATTATCGCTTTGTTGCGCATGTCTCATTGAAAATGAATGGAGGAGAGGCGATGTCGCCTCCCGTGTGTCGGGCCCATAATCAGAGGGTTGCAGGTTCCCAGCAGAGAATGCTGTTGTTGTGTCCTTGGGCAAGACACTTAATCCACCTTCCCTGCTGATGGTGGTCAGTGCGCCCCAGGGCAGCTGTGGCTATGTTTTAGCTCATCACCACCAGGGTGTGAATGTGCGTGTGAATGACTGAATGACTGTGTTGTAAAGCACCTTGGGGGATCTAGTACTCTAAAAGGCGCTATAGTACAGGCCATTTACTATTTAAACAACCCTGCTGTTGCTTGCACGGGCTTTGCAGATTACAAAGCCTCTGTTTACGGTTAACCAGTCATTAACCGTTAAAGACGTCAATAGCCTGTTAAAGAAATTTTGGAAAACGTGCATCTGTAAAAGTTGTTTAGTGCAGTTTTTGACCAGAAGAGGTCTGCAGAGTGCTGTCTCATGAGAAGCTTCTCAAGTTTGTGGCTCAAGAATCACTGAAACCAGTTTGAAAGCAGGCAGGGAGTTTTGTTAAAACTCTTTAGCATTACTTTAAAGATGTCATGCAAGAGCAGCTAAGGTTAACTCAGCCAGTCAGAGTGAATCCCAGCTTGAGAACATTCACTGATCTCTATTATATTGAAAGCATCACAAGTGTGACCTTTTTATTTCATCTTTTTTTTTCTAAGAAAAATTATACATTGGTAAAATAGTGCAGCTTGGAGCACCACCTTCATTATTAGAAGTAAAAACACTAGGCAGCCATTTCTTCTATAAACAATAGACACGGAGGGTGGACTTTCTTTCGTCTCTGAAGTTTATTTTCCTGAGGATTGTTTTTTAAGTTTTTAATTTTTAAAGTGACTGTGTGGATTTTTCCTGGCAAAAGGGGGCAGTAGATACCAAAATCGTTGCAAGCAAGCAGTATTTTTTGTTAGAGTACAACTTTACTAACGGACACCCACTAGGGTCAAAAAGCCCTGGGGACTGCAAACTTCAGCAAAATAACAAGCACATCAGACTCCTTTTCATCACTGGCAACTAGTGAGGAGGTAAATGTGTAAAACAACAACATTTAAGAATGGAGAAAGATTTGTAACTATTTGTTTCAAATCAGTAAAAGCATTTAGTCCTCATGGGCTCCCATAGAAGGAAACATGGCGTCTAATATGGCGTCGCCCAGAGGCTTAGACCTGCTCCTGTGTATTTTCGACATGATTTTTATGGTTATATTTTACAAAGCCGCCAATATTTTTCAACAACTGAGCATCATTTAATTAATTTTCAATAACATTCTGATGGATGTTTCCAGAAATTTACAGTAAGAACTACACATTGTCTCTTTAGGTAAAAAAAGAGTTTGGTAGATATCAGGATTGCTGTCAGAACTTTGGTTTTTCTACTTTTAAATGAAACAAATGCATTCCAAGCACAAAATCTTTTTAATATCCCTCACTGAGAAAAATAAATCAGTAATTTTATTCATCATGAGATTACACATTATCCATCATCACCAAAAGCGTATTCAGTTTGTTTAATAAAGAACAGGAAGAAGTAAATTAGAAATAAACACAGAAACAAGGATATTTCATTGAAGGATCTGATCATTTCAATTAAACAGTTACCATTAGGCCTGTGTAATGGGAATGATGGGAATCTGTCTTGTGTAGAACAGACAATCAGCTGGATGAATCCAAACGTGGTGAAAACTGCGATTTACATATTTGGGGTTTTTATTTAGCTAATTCTTTTCAAATATTCATAGAAACAAGAGTAATTTGGCAGAACATTGGTTTACATTTTGCGTGTGACTCATGCAAATATTCAAAAAGAGAAAGTAACATTTTGCACTTTAGCCAGTTTAGTTGAATACTGATGGAAAATCAGACTAAAGCTGTCAACTAACAAAATAACAAATACACCCAAAAGGTATTTCATCAGAAATCAGGACAGCAGTGCTGGAAAAAATATCTGAGCAGAAAGATGTCATTAATCACTGATCATGATATTTCTAATTGAAACCACCTCTAAGTGTAAACATGATACAGATGAAAATTAGTGTTTTCCAAAACTGCTCTGGTTACATCGTAATAATTAAAATATGTCTTCAAAAACAAGCTTTTCATTATTTACAAAAATAAAATGAGTGGTCATCTAAAAAGCCAGATGTAATTCATAATGTAAAGGAAACTAAAACTTATCATTACAACAGGTTTTCAGTTCTGTTTAAACACAAAATTACTTAACAAGCAAAATATTATTTCTATGTGCAGAAAAAGACATCAGAATGTTTTTGAAAACAATAAAAAGTGCTAAATGTATGCATCACTATCTTTTTTCTTTCCTTTTTTATTCATGCATCACTATCTAATGTTTCTCTAGTGAATGTAATGTCACACATGGTCTGGAATAGTTGAGTAAACCCTTGAGTTGCATCACTAAAGTCTTCCAGCTCCATAACCTGACAGTAACATCCTCTAGCCATAACCTAATTACTGCATACTTATTTTGTTAGGAAACTAGCTCTGAAAAAGTCTCCCAGAGAGCGTGGCCTTTAGAGTGTTGTTCTTTGGTTAATCATCCCATCTCATAATGAAAAGTCACACCATTAATATCAGAACCAACAAGTAACAACAGCAAATGTGTGCCGTAGTGCTCTGCCCCATTTCGTAAGAAAAACCTGATTAGCAAAGGCAAGGCAGCTTTGTTTATATAGCTCATACACAGAAGCACTTAAATGTGTTTTCCAGGTGCAAGAGAACAGAGAAAACATAAAAGATTCATCAAGTTTAGAGATCAATGTGACAAAAAAATAAAATAAACAGCAGATTTGAAACTCTAATTTAAATAATGTAAAAAGGCAAAGTGACAGCAGTTACAGTGCAGAAGGTGCAGCACAAGAAACACTCATTCAAAGACTGATGAATACATGAATGTTTTCAATTTTAATTTAAAAGTAACTACAGTCACCTTATCGTGGTGGAGGAGTTTGAGTGCCCTAATGATCCTAGGAGCTATGTTGTCTGGGGCACTTTGTGCCCCTGGTAGGGTCTCCCATGACAAACTGGTCTTAGGTGAAGGGTGAGACAAAGAACGGTTCAGAGGATCTTTCATGGAGGTAAAGTCAAAGAGTCGGAGTACCCGGCCCGGATGGTTACCGGGGTCCCAGCCTGGAGCCAGGCCTGGGGTTGGGGTCCGTGAGCGAGTGCCTGGTGGCCGGGTTCTCGTCCATGGGGTTGCTGAGGTAGTCAAACAACTACACAGCGGCGGAGCCCCGGGGGCGGATGAGGTCCGTCCTGGGTATCTCAAGGCTATGGATGTTGTAGGGCTGTCATGGTTGACATGTCTCTGCAACATTGCGTGGTCATCGGGGAAAGTTCCTGTGGAGTGGCAGACCGGGGTGGTGGTCCCCATCTTTAAGAAGGGTGACCTGGGGGTGTGTTCCAACTATAGGGGGATCACACTCCTCAGCCTCC